CGAACAAATAATAGGACCGACCGATCAGATGCTAGGTGATGGATGACACCTAGGTGCCGCCGCACGTTCCTTCCCGATACTGCACTCGTTTCTCATCACCTCCAGCGCTACTCCTTCCGGAGCGCGGTCCACTCTGTGGCTCATCATGGATCAATGTCAACCTCGCTCTCCATGTGCTCCGCCCCGGCATGTGTCCTCGTTGTCGCCGACGGGCGCGCTCGCGTAGATATAAGAAAGCCGATTGACGCGCTGACGACGTCCGCTTTCCCGACCTCCCTACCTCCTCAACGATGTTCTGTCGCACTAGGCTGCTTTGGGCTATCGTCTCTTCGACGATCATTAGCGCTCATGCTAGCCGCCGCCCGTATTATGACACGCGCCCCGATCTGAGCGCTTGCTCGGCGCTTCCGATCGTCTATTCATGCGAAAATACGACCGCGTTTACGGACTCCTGCTGTAACATTGCAGGAGGAGGGCTTGTTCTCCAAACTCAGTTCTGGGACACCTACACTGGTTACGAACGCAAGGGTCAGCTCCTTCCCAAGGACTCGTGGACTGTCCATGGTCTCTGGCCGGATAACTGTGACGGGTGCGTATCTCGCAAGTTGATGTGAAGTGCGAAACTGAGCCGACTTCATGTGTTAGCTCATACGGCCAATACTGTGACTTATCGCGACAGTACGATCCTCTACCTTTGACAACTCTCGCGGATGGTACCGTTGTCAAAAATTACACCGGACCCGGCGTTGATACGTTCGTTCGAGAGTTCGGTCGGGGGGACCTATTGGACTGGAGTACGTGTCGTCAATCCTGATGTAGACGAAGGCCGCTTACCGTGTGTAGTGGATAAGTTCTGGGTCAGTCAGGGTGAAAGTAACGCGGGGTTCTGGGCGCACGAGGTAAGTTCCTGGCTGATTGATGCGTACTCGGGCTCATGCCCTCGCGGGTCTTCTCCTAGTTCAGTAAACATGCGACGTGCACTTCGACTTTTGACGTCAAGTGCTACGGTCCGGATTACCAGAAACATCAAGACGTCGTCGATTTCTTCCTTGCGTAAGCGGCACGTGTTCCGAGTTGAGCAGTTTGCTCACCTACATCGGAATAGTGTACGCCGTGCGTTCAATATGTTCCCAACGTTTGACATGCTTGCTGCGTGAGCCTACGTTTGCTCTACAACATGACCGAGTCTAACGCTCAAACAGCGCGGGCATCACACCGTCCAACAAGACGACGTATTCGCTGTCGTCAATTCAGAACGCGCTAGTCGCGCAGACAGGCGCACTCCCGTATCTCGGTTGCACCCAGAACGGCACCGTTCTTGATGAAGTTTGGTACTATAACCATGTTAGCGGAACGGTGCGTTTGATGGTTGTTGTCTCGATCTTCGGCGCCTCTCATACTCAGCGCGCCCCAGGAACAATATGGCCGCTTCAAGCCTGTCGATACGACATACGGCAGCACCTGCTCGTCTACCGCAGGAATCTGGTACTACGAGCGCACTCCTTCCTCAGAGCGCACTGTGGCATTCTGAATTGTTCCGCTGGGCTGCTTTGCGGCTCGGGATCTCGATCTTCGAGATTGAGATATATTATATAGCGCAAAATGTGGTATGGAATCCGTACATGATTGGCGGTTCTATGGTACAGACACGAACGGGACGACAAGAGGTTTGAAAGAGTACAACATGGAGTGCAGCTCATGAGATACAACACAATAAGGGCATATAACGGACAGTCCATGTGCACACGGCACAAACAACGGGCAAACAATATGTGAGAAACAGGAGTTCACCGTCTACGCGAAGACTGAAGGTGGGCGCGAAGACGCGGGGGATGAACCATCCGATGACGACGTGTCAGTACCCGACGTTGTCGAGCCAGAGCTAACCTGCGCCGCCATCTTGTGCGGCAAGGGCGGCAAGGGCGGCAAGGGCGGCAAGGACTTCTCTATCTCCACGGGCAGCGGTCCACGCTCGTCAGGGGCCACTGACGTTGACGTGATGCCGAGCAGCTTACGAAAGCGATACGCATGTCCAAGAGATACCTTCAAGTTGTGAAGCATGAGCGCACGTCGAAGGATGGAAAGCAAGATAGGCCAAACCTGGCGCTGGACGGGTCGTGCCACTTCCGCCACATCTAGCGACTTTGGCGTCGGGTCATCGCCGCGGCTTCTTTCCGATGCCTCCGACTCTTGGGAAGATTCACTAGCTAGACGGAGCATATACGCTGGCGTGTATTCGCCCGGTGATGCAGCTGCGAGAGCATCAGTGATGGCTTCCTCGAGTGACCCGTCGTCGCATATCTCGGGAAGCGTCGGCGGGAAGTCAAACTTCGGGCTCCGGGCGAGCGCCTTGTTCGAGGTATCTGAACACCTTAATTGTCCAAGTTTCGGATACGGGCAGCCCTAGCAACCGAGAGTATTAGACGCGGAAAGACAGGGGCAGCTGCCTCGATGCGCACCACTCGCGGACGATCGACGGGAGGCTTGGGAAGCTCGGCGAGAAAGTGAATGCGCGGGGTGGAAGTGGTCATGGCGAGGTGTAATGGAATACTCCTGATGGTAATAATGGTCGGTTGAGAGATGGGGTAGGAGTGGGCCAGAAGGGAACACCTTTACATAGTGGAAGGCCAGGCCAAAACTCGATAGCACGTGAATGAGACGAAGAGTAAAATGTCGATATATATAATTATTTGATGTGTGGCGTAGATATAATTCTGTAGTACATAGTAGCAGTAAAATGTAAGTCCAGGAAATATGAGTGTATGAGACACAGGCAGTACATGATTGAATAGCGCGCGGGTTAGTATCTCAGAAAGGTGTTTGGTGGGCAACCAGTTGCCGGTGGATCCATGGTACGCTACACGGCAGAAGTGGTAATGAAGGTCCAAAAGGCAGATGCAGTGCAAGAGCGAGGAAGAACGAGGTGATCGTCGTACACTGTAAACGGCATCCGAGGAGCCTCGTGCACTTCAAACGTCGCGAGGTCGGTCCTGAGGGCGCCAGCGGCGTTGCATGACAAGCGAGAAGTCCTTCGTGTTGATACAGATCAGTCTCGACGTGTTTAGGATTACAAGATAAGGCACGCACCAGAAGAAGCCCAGAATCGGAGCGTACCAGGGCGGCTTCTCCGCCTGCGGGAGGCTCGAGTTCATTCATGACCTCTTCGAGGCTCCGAAGATCAAGGGAGCTTGCTGGCGCTTGGCCACGAAGAGCCCTGGAGAAGTTTGGTAGGTTTCCTAGGCCGATGAGAGGGGACAGAGCGGTTGCAAGAGTGGGCGCCAGGTGCGATACGGGGCTCTGTTGAGGCTTTAGCACTGCGAGTCAACTTCCAAAGGTAATCGCGCACGGCAGGGACGCTAGAGTCGTCATGCGAGCCGTCGTCGTCGTCGTCGCTCGCAAATATAAACCGTGCTGCAGACGATACGCTTTGGATCGAGAGTGAGGCGTTGTTGTCACTCTGAAAGCTTAGCCCAAGACTGTTGGGAACGCGGGGCCTAGTTCCCCTAACATAGTTCATAGCACCAGATTCCGTGACATCGATCTCTCGGGAAATAGAAGAGACTAGATTGGCGCGGGTGGGAGGCTGAGATGCGATATCAGCAACATACAATCACCCAAGAGGCGTGGAGCTCACAGCACTGGATCCCGGCGTAAGATTCGCTCTGCTGGCGCCAAATGGCTCGGACGACGTGGTTGGTGAAGATGGGAAAAACACATCTACTACACACAACTTTCCGTTGCATCAGCGAGGTTCGTAACCTAGAGGAGACGGTGGGTGAAACTCGACATACCGGCATAAGATATGCGACGGGGTCGAAAGCCTTGAATCTTGCACGGCGGTCCGGCACAGCGTAAGGGTGATAGCGGAGGCGGTGCATGTTGCGGTAGCAGGGTAGGCGTAGAGAGGAAGTGGGCATAGATAATCGAGCACGACCCTGTGATTTTAAGTCCAAGGCTGAAGGCTACGCCCCAGGGGCAAGCCGGTGGACGTGGATATGGGACAGGGTGGGGGATGGGGGGTCGCAAGAGCGGTGAAGCCGCGAGGCAAGCCCGCTTTATATGACGGTTCGTCTGCAGCAGCGTAAGTGTCCCAGGTCCACGCCAATCATGTTTGCCGAGGACATACCAACCCCACATTCTGGCTTGCCTTATACTTGCACCTGCACCTTCACTCTTCTTCGCCAGGATCGCGCCTTCGAGTAGAATATGTATAACGAGGCCGTCAGTTCACCACTACTGCAGAGGGAGCGTCAGCGGCTTAATGGATGACTCTGTGCCCAACACCGTCGTCTGGGCCGCCGTCAACGCCGAACGCAACAGCGCAATGAGACTCGATACGCACTCAACGATGCACGCACTGACCGCCCTTGTGGGCTGACGTGCGGGAGTTGCAGAGTAGCGTTGAGGCGCCTTGCGTCGTCTGTCGCCAAGAGTGTGTCGTAGCCGGATTCATGGTCGGGCTGCACGCGTGCAGGGTCTCGTGTGTCGGCCGCGTCACACTCGATTGTCCAAGAGACATCCACTGGCGACAGGAGGGATGGCCGCAATGGAAGTTCGAGCGCAGAGACACGCTCAGGTGGACCATCGTCCATCGGTGATGACAGCGTGCTCGATGCGCCACCTGGGGAAGTGACTGTGCCCGGGCTGGGCGCCCCGAAGCTGCCGCCATCGACGTGCGAACATCGCTCACACATCCAGTAACGCAACTTCAGGTGCCGAACGATCGCACTGGAACTGTACGACCACCTTCATGCTTGCCTTTAGCACCGTCGTCAGGGCCAATGTAGACTCTGACGGAGCATATGACAAGGCAGCGCGCTGGATCGATGTTGTTGTTGCCTGCAATGCGCCCGGCCGCGGGAAACCTATTATGCGAGTTCGAAAGCAGTAACTACGCTGTACCTGGGTGAGCGACGCTCTCGTGTGCGACTGCGGCGCAGAGAACCCAATGGAAACGTTGAATTGGCTTCACAGGTCTAGGAGATGGGCGTAGTTCCAAGTATACATGCAGGAAGATGGGAGGACACGCTCTTCCAGTCCTACACCTTCTTCAGCTCTACATCGTTCATGAAAGCCTCACAGTATCCCCGGCGCACGGTTCGCGCGTTTCTGCACCCTTGTGATGTGTGCAAATGACCCCAAGAACCTCCTTGGACCAGAGCATCGCGGCTCTTGTCAGTCAGTCAAGATGTTGCACAGCCGTAGCTGCCCGTATCGCGCCCTCGAAGCAATGTCCCGCTCCATGTCGAGCCTGCCATGATGGTGGTACTAGTTGCTCGCATGTCAGTCAAGTCCGATGGCCCAACGATGGCCGTGGTTGATAAATAGCGCTCCACTCCCCGTCACGTTCAAGACACACGGTATCCCCTAGCAGAGCGCATACGACAGCAACAGCAATGCCAGCACCAGCGCACTGCACCGCGTACAGCGACTGTAGCCCAAGCGACATGGATGTCGAGTCGAGACTCGAGACGATGGCGCAAGGTACGAGACAAAGGGGCCCCGGCGTGGCCATGCGACAGCCGATCAGGTTGACGTTGCTCGCCAACGCAGCCGTTCACTCCCGAACCACCAGCCACGCTCTTACTGTAGTCTCCATGTCTGCTCCCAAACAAGGACCAACAGCGCTCATTTCCCGTTACTCAATCGCTTACTATGCCCTCCCTGCTATATCACCATTTTCTGCGCCTTGTGGCTTACTTATGTGTTCGAAGGCGTACTTCACCCGCCTTCATCAACGATATGAATGACTGTCTCCTCTCTCTCCCACCCCCATCCTGTTCGCTTCGATGACCTGACCTTGAGCGCCTACCTGTTCGATGCTTTGCGCCTCGACCCCAACCACGTCATCTCTGCGACACCGCTACCCCGAATATGTCCATCGGCTCGTCGGCTTGGCCGAGGTGTAGCTCTTGCTTCTGATCAACCACGACAAGCAGCTGCTCTGCAGAAGTGCCCCCTTGCCTTAAAGGTGCATTAAACCACTCCGTCGCGTGGTGTCGCGTATCTCTCCCAGAACATGTCGTACAAGGTGGTGTTGTGTGGGTCGGGCTTTATAGGTGCGCATTCAGAGCCTACACACGACTTATCTTCTGATCCACTTTATGTGCATAGGTAGTAGGATAGCTCACGCTATAAGTATGGCGAACCGGCAAACCCCACTACGGCGCCTTATCCAACCCTCATCCCGCACCTTGGATTCCCGCGCCGACATCTTGAGGCGTGAGCTGCCTCCCGATGATATGCTCGCATTCCGACCTTTCGACATTACCAGACCGGAGACGCTCGCCCCCGCCTTGGAAGGCGCAGAAGTCGTGGTTTCGCTTGTCGGACTTCTTACCGGGAGTCCGGATCTCTTCGAAAGGGTCCAGTGGAGAGGAACTGAGAATGTTGCCGTTGCTGCCAAAAGAATCGGCGCAAAGCTCATATATATCAGTGCTATAGGCGCCGATAAGGAGAGTTCTGTGCCCTACGCAAAGACGAAGGCGCTTGCCGAAGAGGCGGTCCTACGGCACTGTCCTGACGCGACGATCATACGACCCAGTCTAGTGTTCGGACCGGGGGATAGCTTCTTCAATGTACGTTCCCACCTGCACTGCCCCAACTATCGCACTCACGAGCAAGTAGCGCTTCGCTACGCTATCAAAATTTCTGCCCTTCTTACCAGTGTTCGGCGACGGATCGACCAGGTTTCAACCCGTATTCGTCGATGACCTCGCCCAACTCGTCGAAATCATATCGAGGCAAGATCCTGCCATCCGGTCTGAGGTCGCTGGAAGAGTGATTGAAGCGGGTGGACCCGATGGTATGCCCTGCATCCGCTTCTTCATGATATCTGTCTTCTTACGCGCGAGACCCTTTGCAGTATTCTCGTTCAAGGATATCATGCGCCTCGTACTTCAATACACCGGCCGCGCCCGACCTGTTATCTCTGTACCATGGGCAATCGGCAAATTACAGGGTGCAGTGCTGGAGCGTTTGCCGGAGACCATCCTGACCATGACGCAAGATCAAGTGAGTTATGGCTGATCATCGATCATCTTCGACACTGTCACTCACAAAAACATGGTTCAGGTCGAGCAACTGAAGAAAGATAACATCGTCGCAAGCCCGACCCCGTCTGGATACATCAACTTTCTAGATTTTATGCGGATGCACGGTTACGAACTGACCCCTGTAGAACGTGTCCTACCTATGTATCTTCGCCCGTAGCCTGCAGCCAGTCCATACTGTACATAAAATTAGACTTACTTACAGCTTCAGCTTCAGTGTGTCTCGAATTATCGCTTTCATTCCGTTTAGACCCTCAGAGATGATGCGGCCGACGTACTCCGAAATCTTGCCGGCGGCAAAGCTGGATTTCGTCATTTTGCCTTTTCCGGAGGAGTAAGCACGCACCGCAGGCGCGGTTGCAGGCCTCTTCTCCGAACCTCCATGCGGAATACACTGGGAAAACATGTTGTCAATTCGGGAGGCTCTCGGACCATGCATCCACATCTATATAAGTATCATAAGTAGCAGCTTTCCGCGAACGGCCATCTGTCCCCTGGGCCCTGGCGCTCATGTCTGCTGGCTCTCCTCATGATTCAACATGCGCCCCGCGGTCGCAGACGCCGCCAATGCAAAGTGGCACGGTTGATGCTGACCCCACACCGGACTCTTCAGATGAGAAGAATGTAATTGAGAACGGCAAAGAGCCAACGCAGGACACCTCTCGGGTGATTGCGCCTTATAGTATCTTCACAAAGAGGGAGAAGTGGACAATCGTAGGGCTGGCTGCGCTGGGAGGATTCTTCAGGTACGCCTCAACTTCCGAGCTGAATATATGACTCTTATCGTTGCACGACCGAATACTAACATACTTTTTGGACAGTCCTATGACCGCCAATATATACTTTCCGGCATTGCCGACGCTCACCAAAGCATTCCACGAGACTACGGAAAATCTGGTGGGTAACACATTCGTACATTGTGCCTGGTGGAATTCGTCGACTGCTGCACCATGTCGACACCCGTCGTTGATTTGTATGTCTGACGTCTTTCTCTCATAGAACTTGACGGTGACCATGTACATGGTTATGCAAGGAGTTGGCACGTCCGGCGCCTTGTCTGAGGCTGCATATGGACTGACTGTATGATAGCTCCGATGGTATGGGGGACACTCAGCGACCGGTATGGACGGCGTCCTCAATTCATCGGCTGTATGCTATTCCTGGCGCTCACTTGTGTCGGCCTTGCGCTCACACCTACGGACGCTTTCTGGCTGCTCATGCTCCTACGCTGCCTGCAAGCGTTCGGGAGTGCGAGTACCATTGCACTAGGTACGTGTTCGACATTTTCCTTATACATATGTGTGGATGCTGAGACTCTCAGGTGGCGGCGTGATCGGGGACATTGCAACGCCGCAAGAGAGAGGAGGATTCTTCGGCGTGTTCAGCGCCGGGCCCATGATCGGACCTAATCTTGGCCCTGTTCTTGGAGGAATCCTATCTCAAACTCTGGGGTGGAGGTTAGTGCTACCGATGCCTCTATTGCTTGAAGACGCTGAAGCCCGTTGAGGTCCATCTTCTGGTTCCTATGCATCGGCTCAGCCTTGTGTGCGGTGGTCATGATTTTGTATGTCGTGAGCGCAACCACATCTATGCGTTGCTGATGAGTTGCTAGAGTCCTCCCGGAGACCTTAAGATCCATCGTCGGCAATGGTAGCGTGCGACCACCTGCATTCTGGCGCCCTCTCATTCCTGTTGTCGGACGATCACTTGAATACAGCGATACCAAACCGCCTCCCAAACCATTGCGCAATCCCTTCGTTTTGTTCACCTACCTCGACGTTCTTGCTCTTCTGTTGTTCAATGGAGTACTCTACGCGGTGTTCTACGGTGTCACCGCCACAATCTCTGAGCTCTTCCAAACTGCTTATCCGTCCCTGAACGAGACTGAAGTTGGACTTTGCTATTTGGCCATTGGCGGCGGCATGTTGATCGGAACTGTCACGAACGGTAGACTCCTCGACTACGAGTATCAAGTCATCAAGAGGTCCATCATTCGCAAAGCCGAGAGAGACCCGGAGAAAGAGTTTGATTGGGAAGAGTTCGTGAAGGCCGACAAGTATCCCATCGAGAAGGCACGGCTGCGCTCTGCTTTCATCTACACCGCGATCTTCATCGCTACCACGTTCGGCTACGGATGGTCTCTTCAAGCCAAGGTGAACTTGGCTTGCCCGCTTATCCTACAATTCATCAGTGCGTTCAGAGAGCTCATCGATCGACGTATGCTTGTTCGTCATCTAATCTCCCATTAGTTGGTTTCTCGATCACCTCGTGTATGAATACGATCACAACACTCATCGTCGATCTTTTCCCGACACAAGGCTCTTCCATCACTGCATGTGTGAGCGTGCCTCTACTTCACTCCCGATCACTCTGTCTCATGCCCTACAGAATAATCTTGTTCGCTGCTCCCTCGGCGCAGCAATGGTCTCTGCAATGGACCCCATCATAACAGCAGTAGGGCCTGGATGGGCATATGTGATTCTGGGCGGCATCTCTGTCGCGGTGACCCCATTCCTCTTCATCGAGGTAGCGTACGGACCAAAGTGGAGAGAGCGCCGTCGGCTGAGGCTAGCCCAAGAAGATAATCAATAGAGTGATACCTGGTTCTCGTTTTCATCATCATGTTTTGTGTCGCATCTTGGACTCTTGTGCTACCCTCCATCCCCTGCATTCTGTAGATGTTCGATGTTCAACACATCCGTACTTAGATGTCCAACACATCCCCCCGATATGATCCCTCACGATACCTTTCACGCGCATTACACGTATTCCAAGATGTCATCATCGTAATGCACTCATGTTGATGCTCGCATCAGCTGTCGTTGTGTTGTGGCGAGTGGCACTCGGCAATGTCCGATGTGGTTCCGACGGCGCTACTCGCAGGTCTGCCACTTCGCCTTCGACCACCACCGACGCCTGATAACTTTCTTCGCATTTCTTGGACAGAACATGTCAGATCAGGAGCCATCAGTAGAGGCAAAATCTTCACCGCATCAAAAACCAGAACAAGAGCATGAGGAAGAACAAGAGCTAGAACAAGGGTCGGAGCAGGATTCGCAGGGGTACGATCACGAAGACGAAGAAGAAATAGAGATACCCGTTACGAGAGATACCCTCACATTCAACCGTATGTTGACGTCATGGGCTCACAGCCTGAGTCTGTTGAATGACATCGTGCAGAGACCGTCAAGGGAATACTGGAATTCAGTCAGTCTCTGTTATGCACACTGGAGCAGGCAAGCTAAAGGCAGTTTGCAGTCGAAGTAGCGATACACTGTATCCTCTACGTCCGCCAGATCTACCCCGCAGACCTCTTCATCCGGCGCAAGAAATTCGACACGGCTGTCTACCAGTCCCGGCATCCAGCACTCAACGAGTACATCTCGGGCGCAGTGAAAGCCGTCGGCGAAGAGCTCATCCTAGGCAACGTCGACAAGGTCGTGGTAGTGATCAAAGATAAAGAAGAAGTTGCGCTCGAGCGGTTCATCTTCACCATACAGAACATGATCGACGTCGAGGCGTACAACAAGGATACAGCTGTTGTGGGTGCACTGGAGGCCTCTTCATTGGGACAGTACTTTCGATCATTCCTCGTGAAGCTCAATATGATCGAGGCGCAGTTGGGCGAGATGCCGCATGGCGATTCAAGGTCGTTCGCAATTGTGTTAGAGTTGCAGGACAATATTGCACCGAGCGTCAATGCGGCGAAGGTAGAGAAGACTGAGTAGCAATGGAGCTCATACATGCTGATACGGACATGGACACAGGAAACGCCTCCACCGTGGATACCTGCTGTTACACAACACACAACCGACGGTGCTGCCGATTCGGCCGAACTGCACATGGTTCGCGCAGTAGACACCGGCGTAATCAATGTGCGTAACACGTTGTACATCGTCCCGTTGACTGGTGCTGACACTTTCTGGAAGTTGGCACTCGCTGTACAAGAATCAGAAGACAAGCTGAAGCGCATCCGGGCGGAGCTACAGCCAAAGTCCCCACCACCTTCGAAAGGGAAAGGAAAGGAGCGTGCAGTCTAAAGCCGCATGGTAATGTGGCCTCGTAGCAGTCATTTCCAAGAACATTATATGGCATGCTAGTAAAGTCCAAAGATAGATCCGAATGATCAGCCCGAGGCGTGATGGTACAATGAGAAGATGGGTGCGGAACTCTCAGATCTCAGACGTCGACCCGTATCCTTTCGATCATGGGAATGATGCGGTCCCATTCCTCCATGGCCTGTTCGACGTCAGTAGATGCACACGATGCAATGAGGGGAAGTGACATACCGACTTATACAGCTCAATTTGTCCGTCAGCCAGGTTCCCGAGCATCTCCTTCATCTCGGACTCCTTTGCGTATTGGAAGATGGCCTGCTCGCGCAAGGTCTCATCGCTGAAAGCGTCACAAGTCTCGTGGGCTGTGGTCACTGCCTCTTGCAACTGTAGTCAAGTTAGCTTCAAGATGTCGAGCGCATGAATAGGCATATCCGCCAACCTCCTTGATCTTCCCGTCAAGCTTCTTCGCCTTCTCAACACGACTGCGGTCATCGTCCGCACCACGGATTGCATCGACGCGCTCCCTGAGGTATGCGCCAAGTCCCAACCCGGTGCTTCCTGCGTGGCCGCTGATGATCGCAGAGAGCCGGTCCCGTTCAGCGGTTACACCAGAGAGGTAGTCGGTCAGTTCCTCGAGATCTAGTTGTTTCTGATCGCGCAACTTCAGCACGGCCTTGTGTGCGCGAGAGTAGGAGCCTAGGGAGTGCAGGTGAACCAGGAAGGGGTCGATGGAGTTTTGTGTCTGTTGGTACTGTGAGTCGCAGTTCATGTCGACATCAGGGGCACTGACCGTGTGGCGCAAAAGCGCGGAAAACTCCAGCAGCGTATTCGAGAAGTGGTTGAGCTGATCGGTAATGCCCGACTCGAGGAATCCGAGTCCTTGGACGGCGACAGCCATATCGTGATAGTCTCCAGTGAGATCTTCACCCGCAGTTTGCGGATCCCCAGCTCATTTAGCCTCAGAATCCCTCACAAAAGCACCTCGAATGCTATGTACTCACCTGTGATGCGACCGCGGATACGAGTCCAGTGACGCTCTGACACGACCAGACTCTCCTCGAACTTGTCAATGTGCTCGCGCATGGCCATAAAGCGCTCGTCGGGCTTCTTGACCCGGGCGAAGGCGTTGAGGAGGGTGTCGGAGAGGTTCTCGATGAGGCCTTGGCCGCCGTCCGCGCCGTTGGGTGGGTGGGCGACATGTTGGTGCATGATGACATGCTATGCGAGGCGTAAGCTTGGGTGAGAAAGAGAGGGGAAGTGGTAGCATACCCATTCTGTCGATTCAAAGAAGGCGCGGACAAGGGTACTTCGCTGCAAGGTTGGGTGGCGCGCCAATCGTTGAAGGAAGCGGTTCAGACTGCGGCGTATCAGTGACTTGCGCATCCAGTCATTGCTGAGTTCTTACTCTTGTCGTCTACGTTCCATGAACTCGGGGCTGAAGCGATCGCCCGTGACATACTCTGGACAAAGAGTACGTCAGCGGCGTACATATATAACGGTATATATGAGCATACCCATCCTATGCTTGTCTGGTAGAGGCGGAACAACGCATGCTGGGAAGTCCTTCGCGAGATGTGTTCGTAGAAATACAAAGTCTTGAAAGCGTCTCCTCGATGAGGGGTTCGGGGTTGAGAATATAGGGAGGTTCGTCTATTTAAGTGTTAGAGCCGCGAACCGAATAACAGTACCGATGCGCATACCTTTGCGGTAACGAGATAGGAAACATAAGCATCTTTGGTTTCCGCGAGTTCCTTCTGAGGATCCTTGACCTGGGTGATCAAGTAGCCTTCCCATTTGGGCTCGTGCGGCCCGCGCTCGTCGTCTCCCTCGGCATTGCTCTGCCTGAAGCCGGGCCTGGCAGGCATCGCGGCCTCGTTCGCCACAGCGTCGTACGGGTTCCGGGCCGGAGTCTCCCATGTCACCGAGTCGAACACGTCTTCTTCCTCTCCCAGCATTATTTCCGGAGATGAGTGGCGGAGGGAAGTCGTTACGCGCCGCGAATACACCGCAGCGGTTCGGGCACGGGCTCGTCTCAAGTCCGAGCGTGGGCTGCGCATCAGCCAAACATCTCACTCTCCTTCCACCATGTCCCATAAATTAATATGGGCGGCCAGTCTTCTGTCTGTACCGCTGGGAGCGCTGGCGTTCGAGGCGCCCATCAAAGACACGGACTACACGCGCCAACTGTGCAGCGGGATGTACTCCAGCGACTCTACCTACATCAACGTCACTTTCGACCAGGGATCACAAGGGCAGCTCGCCATGGTCATCTACGAGTGGGGCGACTACAAATATCTCGGCAAGGTCACGTCCGAGGAGGAGGAGTGGCTTCCGGTGTGTACCCTACCCCGCGTCCCCGACCGCGTCTCATCGACGCGTCCCAGCAGAGAACATATGTCTGCACATCAGACGCAGTGAAGCAAGGCTTCTGCTCCCAGTCTGACGTCGGCCGCTTCATTCTCGATCTGCCAGAGAACACCGCCGTCTCCGACACCAGCTTCTGGTCCGCACGCGTCGCGTTTCCCGGATCGAGCTCCGCTTCTTCTAATGTGGCGACCAAAGACGGAGAGGACCTTGCCTCATCCAGCGGCTTCTGGGACAACCCCGAAGGCAACCCAACACCTCCAGATAGCGAATACGCCTCTCCCTTCCGACGCGATCTGTCAACCCGTCAAGCTCTGAACCCTAGCCCAACCGGTCTTTTCGAGTACAAGGAGCCCATTCAGTATCTGGTACGGAAGACAGGATACTACTGCGTCGGTGCGTGAACGGTGTACTTTCCAAAGTCAGATCATGCTGACGCATATATGCGCAGCCATTGTACCCGTCACGGTCTTGCCCTCGTCGAAACGCCAAGACGACAACCCAGACCCGGACTCGCAGACGGAAGCTCACCCACACTACTCCGGCACCGTGTTGTTTAAGAACAAGTTCGATGGACGGCTAGCTGCAACTGACTATCCGAAGGTCAACGTACGTACTTGGTATTGACGCGCCACAGCACAAGCTGACATCCATCCTAGTTCTACACTACGATGCTGTTTGTGTACTTGGCGTTCGCTGGCGTATGGGGTTGGTCATGCTGGAAGCATCGCGACGAGCTGCTGCCTATCCAGGTTCGACTAATGTCCTGTCTGCACATGTCCTGTTGCTGACACCATTCACAGTACTATCTGTCCGGCCTCGTCGGTTTCCTGGTCATCGAAATGCTCGCCAACTTGAGTGAGTATTGCACAGTGATGCCTACGTACCATACTAATCCGCTTATCCAGCTTACTATCGCTATCTCAACGCCCACGGCAAAGGGACGACTTCCACCGTCTTCCTCTTCGTCGTGGCTATCCTTGACGCTGGCCGCAACTCACTCTCCTTTTTCTTATTACTTGTCGTTTCTCTTGGTCTGTCCGTCATCCGCGAGGACCTAGGCTCTACCATGCGAAAATGCCAGATCTTAGCCGGGTTCCACTTCGTGTTTGGAGGTGCATATCACCCCATCATCCCTCGACGCTTTGGCGCTAATCAAACTCTCACAGTGCTATACGCCGTGGGCATCGTCGAGCTCGAATTCGAGTCGACATCGGCTCTAGTCCTTCTACTCTTCGTCATCCCTCTTGCATTCACACTCAGCGGCTTCCTCATGTGGACACTGTACTCGCTGAACGGTACGCACCGGCCATCCGTTATCTCAAGGCAGTGCTGATACAGCACTCTAGCCACCATCACCCAGTTGAAAGCGCGGAAGCAACACTTCAAGCTTCGCATGTTCCAACGTTTGCAATGGATCCTCGCCTTTGTCGTGATCGTCATCACGATATTCTTCTTCGTATCGTCCCTGACGTTCTCGGGGCGTCTTGCCGAGGGTAAGCGTCATCGCGCGTGACAACTCTGGATTCTTTACTCACACGCACGCGCAGATTACGCCGCGAACAGCTGGAAGATGCGCTGGTGGCTCCTCGACGGCTGGCTCTCCCTCCTCTACTTCATCTCCTTCGCCGCAGTCTGCTACATCTGGCGTCCGACACCCTACAACAGCAGGCTCCTCATGTCCGAAGAGCTAGCCCAGGACGAAGAAGATGCAGAGGACTACGATCTTGAGGCCATGGAAAGCCGTACCGAGCAGCGTCATCGCGATCGGGAGGATGATGAGGCGACGCTCGTCGGTGGTCGGGCGGGACACAGCCAGCTCGCGGACGATGCGGTGGTGTTTGAGATCGGGGATGAGGACGCGCATGATTTAAGCGATGAGGAGGACGACGCAGCAAAGAGGCAAAGGAGGCGAAGCTCAGGTCATGAAGATGACGACGAGCACGATGAGCGTGCGGGCCTGATGGACGGAGGGAAGAAGGACGACTGAGAGTGCTGAAAAAGCTCGCCTCCCATTATCGTAGTAACTTATTCCAACCTCTCTTTACTCTGCCGCGCGAGATAATATGGGACTCTTGAGACTCGGTCGGGCTCCGAATGTACAACGGATTTGCATTACTTCGTATGATATACAGTACATCCAAGGAAGATATACCACGGGGCAGAGATGGACAGCAAGTGTAGACACAGCAATGAAACGACGAGAGAAGGCTCAGTCACGTATACGACCAGTGGAGGTGGTGTATAACCGCGGGGCGATGTTCATGCTTTGCAGTTCCTGGAAGAGCAGTTTGGCAGCGTACGGGATGTACAACTGCGACACGGCCGTCTTGGTCTTGCATGCACGGCACTCGAACGTTTGCTTTTTCTGCAGAGCCAGTCAGTCACACAGTCTTTCAACGTAAACGGCTCCACGTACCAAGTTCGCGATAGCCGTCAGACCGCACGAATCGCAAACATGCAACCGGTACGCATCACTGGCGTCGAACAGCCTCTCCTTCAAGAACGCCGCCACACCATGCGAAATCATACAATCGCGCTCCATCTCTCCGAATCGCAATCCACCGTCTCTTGACCGACCCTCGACCGGCTGCCTCGTCAAGATCTGCACGGGACCACGTGCACGCGCGTGAATCTTGTCGTCGACCATGTGCTTCAGGCGCTGGTAGTACGTTGGGCCGAGGTAGACCTGCGCTTGCAACTTGCGTCCAGTATGACCGTGGTACATGATCTCCAGCCCACGCGAGTGGTATCCCTGTTGCCTCAGGAACGTCGACACGCTCTCGACCGTCAAGTCCGTAAACGGTGTCGCATCACCCTCGTTCCCGATGAGCGTCGCGACCTTGCTCAGCAAACACTCGACCAAATGTCCGATGGTCATACGCGAAGGAATAGCGTGCGGGTTGATGATGATGTCCGGTGTGATACCCTCGCTCGTGAACGGCATGTCCTCCTGGCGGTATGTGATACCGATCGTACCCTTCTGCCCGTGCCTCGACGCGAACTTGTCACCGATCTGCGGTATACGCGTAGACCTGACGCGGATCTTGACGAACTTCTGGCCCTCGTGGTTCGTGGTAATCAACACCTGGTCGACGATACCGCTCTCGGTGCTCTTCAGCGGCGTCGACACATCGCGGCGAGTGTGCAAACGATTACGCTGGCCGAGCTCCTCGCTGTCGACAGGCAAAGGAGCCGTCTTTCCGATGATGATGTCTCCACCGTTCACACCCGTTCCAGGTGCGATCATCCCGTCGTCCTCGAGCTTATCGTACGTCCCATGCTTCATGTGCAACGTCGTATCCCTCGTCGGCTTCTCGAACTCCTCCAACTGTTGCACACCACTCTTCTTCTCCAGATCCATATAACTCCTGTAGTAGATCGAGCGGAACAGGCCGCGGTCGATAGACGACTGATTCATGATGACGGAATCTTCCTGGTTGTAACCGCTGTAACACAAGATCGCGACAATAGCGTTTTGACCAGCAGGAAGCTCGCGGAACTTGAGGTACTCCATCGAGCGTGTTGTGGCGAGCGGCTTCTGCGGGTAGTAGAGGATGTTCGCCATCGTGTCCATGCGGACGAGGAAGTTGGTAAGGTAGATGCCCATGGCCTGTTTACCCATGGCGGACTGGTACGTGTTACGCGGTGACTGAGTACGATGTCAGTATGAAGCGATAGTGCACATGGAAAGGATCGCATACCTGATTGTGATCCGGGAACGGAATGATACTGGCGCAGATACCCAGTATCATACTCGGATGAATCTCGCAATGCGTAAACAGATGCGGTCGCATAGTCGACATAGGCTTCAACCTGCTCGATGGGTCGAAATGCATGCTGTCCGGGTTCGTGTCCTCATGCGTGTCCAGTCCCTGCGCCTCGAGCTTCCTCGCCTCCAAATCCTCGTTGGACATGCTGATCATGACCGTCTCCTCCTCCTCGGCGTCCAACATCTCAATGACACCCGTCTTGATGAGCTGCGACCAGCGGAAGGGTTCGTTCGGGTCATCGGTATGACCCTGGGAAACCCACTGCACGTGCTTCTTCTCGATCACGAGCATGCCGTCTTCCACGACGAACAGCGGACGACATACGCGTCCCGGATCCGTGTATATTCTCAACTCGCGCTCGCGAATATCGCGCACGATAGACACCTCGGGATGGACGTCGTCCTTTCTCCTCAACCTCTTCAACGTCGTGATGAGGTTCGTGGGATCGCGATGTACACCAACCCAGACACCGTTGACGAAGACCTTCGTGATGCGCTTGTCCTTCGCCTCCTGCAGTTCGTCCAAAGGTTCCAAGCCCCACTCCTCCAAGAAGTCGACGATGGTGCCGCTCATGGAGCCGACAGAGATACATGCCATGAGTGAGAGGTTCTTGACCAAACCGCACGCTTGACCCTCGGGCGTCTCGGCCGGGCAGACCATACCCCAATGGGTGTTGTGTAATTGACGCGGCTTGGCGATCTTGCCCTCACGACCAAGAGGCGTGTTGCAGCGGCGCAAGTGGGAGAGGGTTGAAGCGTAAGTGTAACGGTTCAACACTTGGGAAACACCGGCTTTCGCGGACATAGCCTTCTTCTGGTCACCCCAGTTTCCTGTGGCGAGCGAGTACTTCAAGCCGTTGGTGATCGTCGTGTGCTTGATGGCGAGACCCAAGCTGAACTCCTTGTGCGTTTCGACACACTACGCACAAGGTCAGTTTTGGAGACCTGGGTTGAAACTGCTTTCTGACGTACCTTCTGCAGGTGACGGTAGACATCCCTCGTCAACTTCCTGAACAGCATGCGGAACAGGTTCGCCAACAAAGGTCCAGCCAAATCCAAGCGCTTCTTGCCGAAGTGGTCACGGTCGTCGAGTTCGCGACGCTCCATGGCGGCGAGCAAGAGACGGTGGACCATGTATCCGAAGAAGTATGCCTTGCGCGACTCGGAGCCCTCGGCCATTGAGACGTGGGGCAGCATCTCCTTCTGCAAAATCTCTTGTGCGTAGCGGATACGACGGTCGCGCGAGAGACCGGTTGTTGTTCCACGGTTTCCGATGAAGTCCAACGCAATCTGTTGAGTAGGGCGTCAGCGTCGCATCCCTTTAAGGCATTGTGAGAATACGCACGTCGCGGTCCTGGATGACGAAACCGTCGTCGATACAGGGCTTGAGCATCTCGAGCATGGGTGCATCGTCCATGTCGTAGCAGATGTGCTCGAGAATGTCACGGTCGGAGATGACACCCAGCGCACGGAAGACGACCCAAATGGGTATGTCGACCTTGATATACGGTATAGTCGCCTTGATGACGTTTCCAGACTGCTGAAGTTCAGCAACATGCCAGTGCACAAAATGGCACTTGGGCAATACCCACCGTCTTCTCCTGGCTGCGATGGAACATCTTGACCTGGAACTGCGAGATGGTCTTGCCCGACTTTTCGACGGCCGAACGAATCTCGGCGAGGAAATTGATGGGCGAGGGCTGGGCTTTGGCGAAGACGTAGACGTGGTTGGTGGCCATGCGCTCTTGTGCAATGAGCACCTTCTCGGAGCCGTTGATGATGAAGTAGCCTCCGGAGTCGTACGGGCATTCGTTCAGGTCGTACAGGTTCTGCTCCTCGACGGCGGACAAGAAGCAAAAGTCGGAGCGGACCATGATGGGCATCTGAATATGCCTGTTAGACAGTACACAAATAATATGATATTGTGACGCACCTTTCCGATCCAGACCTTTGGGTTGTCCGCACCCTCGATGAACTTGTCCTCCAGCTCCGGCTTCCAGTCAAGCTCAGCGCCATCTCCCGTGGGATGTGCGACGGAGAACTTGCGCGCGACCTCGAGATATATGGGGGAGGAATAGGTAAGGTTGCGGAGCCTGGCCTCCTGGGGGAAGACGGGCACGACTGCGCCATCCATCTCTGTGACCGTGGGACGGGCGAGGAAGACCTGGCCCCACTTGAGCTCGTAGCGGCGCATGACGTCGCCGGAGAGACCCGAGTGCTGTTCTTGCTGCTCGAGCGTGAGATCGCCGGCCTCGTCGATGAGCTCCTGCATGGTGTGGTGCACAAACTCGTCAAACGAGTCGAGCTGCTGCCGGACCAGGCCCTTTTCCTCGAAGAAACTCGAAATAACCGTCCAGCAGTCCTCCTGCGTGATCTCCGTCTCGTCCTCCTCCTCGCCCAGCCCCAGGTCCGGGTCGTCGAACATGTCCGCCTCTGTTTCTTTTGTGAGCGAGCCACCCTCCGACACCTGTCGCTTAGACAGTACCTTGGCTCATGGCTTCCCTCTAGTATGATATATTATATACAGAGCAGCGCTCTGGTAGATTTTGGGAAGGACGAAGCGGTGCGGCGAAGGAGACGTCGAGAGAGACCTCGCCGTCGCTGACGAACCCGCCAAACCCACGCGCGACGCGTCCAGACCGCGTTCTCAGCTTTCTCACGCGCCCCCTCTCCTTCTCCCTCCATCCTCGACTCACTCTCGGCTCCGTTGACTCAATCAAATCCCTGTCTTTCTACACTGAACTCGAAACATCTACAGTTTACTCGAATCCGCCCACCGCAACAATGTGTCCATCTTCCTCTCCGCACTCGACGCGTACCCGCCACCCTACACAAATGGTCAATACTTGCGTCCCACGTCAAGAGACAAGACGCACCCCGAATAACACGGCATGGTTCATATAATGAAAGAGCTCGTACAAGTCAGCCCGCAACTCGTACTCTTCGGCTGGCTCTGTCCTGGGCAGATGCTCCTCATACGTCTTGTAGAAAGACTTTGGAAAGCCTCCGAAAATACGCGCAATGGCTAGACTGCTAGGATGTCAGAGACGTGGGAGCCGGAAGAGGCTGAAGTCATACTCGGCTTCATTGTGGCCGTAGTAAGAGGATGGGTCAAAGATCACAGGTTCGCCTGTCGCAGAGTCTGTCCCAGCATTGCCACTCTGTTGATCTATGAGCGTGGATTCAACATATCTGACACTGGATCTCGCACCCATAGATCACCATGAAGGATCACTGGTTCGACATCCAGCTTCCCCAATAACGCCGGGATCACCCTTACTACCCGTCAGCTCGGTACACCCAGAACGCCAACATCCGTCCGGCGTACCTCCGCCTAATCTCCTCACCCTTCTTCACCACCCCAGCACTTCGTCCCTCCTCCTTCAAGCTCCCCAGCAAATCTCCGATCTTCACATCAAAGCACTCTTCCCACGTATCATACCACCCGTTCCGCATCCTCGTCGCACCACAGAACGTCGGAACGTCGAACCCAAATTTGCCGTTCTCACTCTTGCACCTGTGCATCTCCGCCAGCCTCTCTCCCAGCCGAACCCCACCTTTGTCGGACAATGACCCGATATCTTTGTACTCCGACACGAAGTACGGTTTCCCACTGCCATCGGTCGCTTCGCCATCCGCACCTATGACGCCTGAAGCAATCATCTGCGGCACAAGACCCGGGGCAGCAGCATGCATCGCGCGCAAGGACTTTTCCTCGCCGACATACTGCTCCATCTCACGTGGAGAGCCGATCTTGACGAAGTAGCGCTTGCCGGACGACGACTGGACGCGCGGAAGGGTGGCCGTGAACTTGGCGTCTGGCTCTGACTGTTGCAGTTGGCGTAGAATAAGGGCTGGCAGGGCTTTTGAGGCCATGGTGGTCGTATTGAGGATGTTGTAGTCCACGATCAATGGGGATGCAGAATCTACGACGCGTGACGTCATCCGTTCGCGTACAGATTATATATTTTGAAATCAATTGCACGCGTAGCGTAACCAATATACTATTTGCGGAGTATCAGTCAAGTCAAGCACTGCTGTCTGCAAGAACTGGAATATAATGATTGATGTAAGACAGTGCGCGTGACGTCACAAAGCCTATCTCCGCGGGATACCAGCTGCGCGCGACACTCGTCGCTCGATGCCGCCCCCCATGATCAAGAAACGGCCTTACACGGTGACGACCACCTATAAACCTGGCGCCATGACGCGTGCACCGTCACAGTCACCATGTTGACCTCGGCGCACATCCACTCGCTCACGCTCCCCGATGCGCTCTTCTCATCCCCCGTCTACTCTATCGTGTGTCCGGTCGTGCTCGGGGCGGCGATTGGCTACGCGACAAGGCCAGACAAGACCAAGGCGATCTACCGCGCTCTCAAGCAGCCGCCCTTGAATCCTCCCGCGTGGCTCTTTGGGCCTGTATGGACGACGTTATACGCGGGTATGGGATACGCGTCGCACCGCGCTTGGGTCGCCGGCATCAACTCGTTGGATCCCGAGGTCGTGCACGCTACGAAGGTGCGCAACGTCGCATCTTGTCGTGCACATGCGCTGATCATAATGCAGGTCGGCGCGGGCTTGTACCTGGGACAACTGGTTTTGAACTACGCTTGGATGCCCCTCTTCTTCACATTCTACCGCCCGGTCGAAGCGACAGCCGACATCGTAGCGCTTATCGGAGCCGTGGCGACACTGGCGCACACATGGCACCAAGTCGACGAGACTGCAGCATGGATTCTTGCGCCATACCTCGCATGGCTGGCCTTCGCTACATATCTTTCGGTACGCACTCCCGCTTGTACACTTTGATCCCGATATCTGAGTGTACGTCCAGGCTGGCGCTGGATACCTCAACAACTGGGATTTCTCCCGATTCAAGGGTGCTGCAGACAGGGATATCAAACGTGACTGAACGGTGTGATTGTATATTGTATGCATAATGACACGGGTGTTCTATGTTGTACACCATTCACAGGCATGGAACGAGCTCCGCATTTCAGCGCGACTCGCGCTCGCGCGCCTTATCCATGACCTGCCTAAACATGCCCATCAAAAAGCCGCGCGCCTCCGCGTCAGGCTCACTCATGATGAGTCTCATCATGTCGTCCTCGGACCCGACGGGTATCCACCGGACGTTGGGTTCAGGCGCATTCGGTTTGGCGGGCTTGGGCTTGGGCTCTGCAGGCTCGGGCTTGTAACTCCGCCCCTTCTGAGCGAGTATGATCCTATCTGCCAACTTGTCGAGCTCGTCCGCGCGCTCCTTGCTCCCTTTCTTCCTCTGGATCTGCGCAACGCGTTGCAGAAGCTCAATGTACCGTGCCTGGCTCTGCAAGCCCGTGGCTTCATATGCGGAGAGGACTGCTTCGGCATGCGCGATGCCTTGCGACGTCTTGGGTAAGAGAGCTTTCACCACGCGCTCTCTTTCCTCGTCCGCTTCCACAGGATCGGTGCAAGCCTTGCAAGTGCAAGTGATGCAGATCTTCTTCAGCTTCGCCCGTCTCTCCGCCGTTGTGGACATAAGGTGGCAGTACGTGAGCGTGATCTCTTCGCCTTTGGCGATGGGCCGGACGGCGTGGATCTCCATCGAGAAGGAAGGGATGTTGAAAGTGAAGATGGCATTTGGTGCGCAGCTGCGTGAAAGACATGAGACTCTGCGCAAGCCGACGAGCGTGCTAGACGTACTCGTGATTGAACCTCGACGTGAGCGCGCCGATGCACACGTAGCGTCCTATGCCCTTCTTCCCGCCAGGGACTCTTTCACCCTCGGGATCCTCAATACCGAGATCGCGGCTGTTCGAGCGATAGATCCCAGTGAGCGGACCCGAGCCGTCCGTCTTGAATACGTTGGGCAATGACTCGTAGATCTCCAGTATGTCAGGCGACATGCGCATGCAGATCATCTCAAGGGTTTTCTCCAGATCCACAAACGTCTAACAATATGAGTGAGTGATCGAAGTCAGACGTCGATGGGATAGATCATGTGCTCACTGCTCTCTGGACAGCTTCGTCGCTCATATCCTCGTCATGGCGTGCAGACATCCACCCATTCTTGATGAGCAGTGGCCGTTCAGCGAGGACAAGGTCGCCCGCTTTGATATCCTCCGTAGCGAACACCCCACGCCCGCCACTATCCGTCTCCCTCACTTCATACATGACCTTGGGAGGATGTGCAATAGGCGACGGGAACCCCGGCGTGGACAAGACCATACGCTTGAACCACCCCGTACACATGCACTCCGCCTTCCCGTCACGTTCGAGCGCATACGTGTACGGTTGAGGGAGCGTCGTAACGCAGTAGTCACTGTCCTTATAGTCGTTCCTCCTGTGGTCATGCGGCTCGGGCGACATCTGGAAGGCAGGCGTATAGCCTTCCGGTGCATCGTGCTCTACGATCAAGAGTCATTATGGCATGAGGGAAGACATGGGATATACGGGTATGACATACGATAAGTCGTGTTCTTGAGCAAATCCCAGGGAAGCCTCGTTATGGGCAACTCAAACTGAGAAGCAGATTGCATAGCGTCACAAGCTGCCCTCTGGGAAAGAGTGCAAAGAGTTCGGGGTGAGGAGTGATATGGTCCGTATTGAGCTTTTCGAAGTCTTTATATGTCCTGCGCTGCGGAGAAGCAACCACAACGTCGCAACCACAATGCAGGTTGACCTCTGTCAATCGATACTATTGTTCAATCACCGCCACCTCTCTAGCTCGGCGAGATCCATGTGATTCTCAGACGCAAGTCAAGTTGGACGACAGGAGTGAAGTCCGTCGGCTCATTTCATTTGGTCCGATTGGACTTGTATACATACATCCTCCATCCTCGTTCTATCTTACACATCGGTAACCACGCAGAGGAGCAAGCTAAGAACGATAGAGCCTAAAGGCCACTGGGACGAGGAACGAAGTCCGAGGCGTACATCGTCATCGCATTTCCATCCGGCCCTATGATCTGCGTCCCCTGGGACGGATCTGGGTTCGCGATCTGCATGAACGCCTTCATCATGCTCGCGCGCTCAGTCTCGTTTCCGTGCTGCATCATGAACTTCAGCAGCTCGTCCGGAGAGCCGAACATGTAGTTCTTGACGTCTGACTCGGCCTTGGGCTTATGCGCGCGGCCGTTCTGTGCGACACTAACCCTCTGGGCCAACGACTCGAGCTCGTCGGCGCGACTCTTCCTGCCCTTCTTGCGGTTTATCTGCGCAACACGGTTGAGAAGCTCGATATAACGCGGAGCGGTCTGAAGGCCAGTGGCTTCGAAAGCGGCCAGAGCTGCCTCGGCGTGCTGAACACCTTGGGACGTCTTGGGAAGCAAGTCGAGTATGGCGCGAGCGCGTTCCTTATCCCACACTCCAGGGTCCTTGCACGCCATGCAAGTGCAGGTAAAGCCGTACGGTTTCAACTGGGCCTGCCTTTCTGCGGCGGTGGCTGACAGATCTGTATAAGAGACCGTGATCTCTTCGCCTTTCGCGACTGGCCGAACGGCATGAATCTCCATAGAGAAGCTGGGCATGTTGAACTCGTGAGAGGCGTTCGGCAAGCAACTAGTGTGTTCGATCAGATCATGCGTCTGCGTGATTGAGCGGGGAGCGCACCTGTGGTTGTACCTCGAAGAGAGAGCACCCACGCATGAGTACACGCCATTGGCTGCATCAACACCGGGTATTGCAGGATCGTTAACGCCAACGTTGAATCCATTAGTGCGGAAGATTCCAGTGAGTGGCCCGGAGCCATCCGTCTTGTGACTGTTATACAAGGACGTGTACTTCCTAAGGGTCTCTGAAGACATGCGCGAGCAGAGGAGCTCCATGCTCCTCTCCAAGTTAGCAAACGTCTGACGCGATACATGAGTGAAAGTACGCAACAACGCAGAGTACAGCCACGTACTGCTCTCAGAATATCCTCAGGACTGAGGTCTGACCGGGCGCGCGCCGAGTTCATCGCCATCTTGACAATCAACGGTCGCTCTGCGGTGATCAGATCGCCTGCCTGGATGTCTTCGGTGGCGTAGACCCCCAATCCGCGACCGACAACATCCCGAACTTCGTAGACGATCTTGGGCGGGCGGACGATGGGGGAGGGAAAGCCAGGCGTCGAAAGAACCATGCGCTTGAACCAGCCCGTGCATGCACATTCCGCTTCACCGTCGCGCCTGATGGCTTCGTCCCGCTCAGACTGTGGCAGCGTCGTGACTATAGATTCGTCGTCTCGGTAATCGGTCCTGCGATGGTCAGTGTCCTGTATGTTTTCGAAGGACACCGCGGGTATGAAGCCATCGCGAGGTCCGCTGGGCTCTTCAGACATAGTCCGTCAGATGGGAGTCAGAGTGCGCAAGGCCAAGGATACGCACGGTAAGTTGTATTCTGGAGCATGTTCATGAAATCCCTGCCCGCGGACATTTTAGCGGCAGACGACGCCATATCGGTGGTGAACTGGATGCAGGTCAGGGAGGGTACGAAGGGTGGTGGCTAATGGCGGGCGACAGCGCGAAGTAGCAGCTTTATAGATGTCAGCAGCCCATTCGCAGCCATATCGAGGGCGCAGCGAAGCGGCATCCGGTCGACAAAAAGGAAAGGCTAGGACCATATCGAGACCGACTTCTTATCGTGGCGTCCATCATGTCAATGGCATGGGAGAAGCCCTGGTCTGGGTAGCCTGTTCACGGAAGAGGGGCAATACATGTCTGGACAGTCGTATGCCGACGAGGGTGGCAACACCGTCTGGGAAGAAAAGCTGTGGAGGCAACGTTTGCTGTCCCACCTGACTGGTCTTTCGCACCACCATCACCAACGCCATGATAACTTTCGACCTTCCCGCCGTATAGGTGGTTCTTCTAAACGTAGCAGTCCGGCGCTAGGACTCTTGATGGTTCCGAAGGAGAGCTGTAGCTACGATTGTGTACGGAATGGTGATGATGATGGTGTGTAGTAAAGTGCTGCAGTGCGCGATGACCCTGAACTAGTCTTAGATACCTCATCCTACAGCAGACCAGACCCTTTTATACCGACGTGGCCCCGTATCCTGTACATGTGCAGATTTGCTAGGATATACAATGCGCGCGTTCCATTCGTCACTGTCCACTGGCATTGGCCCCCTCGTCACGGTTGCCCAACTGAAAGCTCCGCATGAGGTCCTGCATGATGCGTGCGCGGTCGCCGGGGTTAACGCGCGCCACGACGGAGTTCATGAGTTTGATCATGTCCTCCGGAGACGTGATAACGTGTGTTTCGGCGGGAGGTGTCGGCTCTGACGATGTGCCCGCGCCGGTACGGTTGCGCCTTGAACCCCTTGTCACTCTCTCTGCCAGCGACTCGAGTTCGTCCGCACGCTCCTTGCTACCCTTCTTGCGATGAATCTTTGCCACGCGCATCAGAAGTTCGTGGTATCGTGGGTGACTCTGCAAACCGGTAGCCTCGAACGCGCGCAAGGCGGCATCCGCTCGTTCAACACCCTGAGACGACTTGGGGAGGAGGCCGCTGATTGCCGTCTTGCGCAACTGGTCTGACGTTTTGGAATCCTTGCACGCCGGACAGGCGCAAGTGAACTTATAGGGATTGAGCGTGGTTTGGCGATCTGCCGCGTTGTCGTTGAGTAAGGCATAGGTCACGGTGATCTCCTCCCCTTTTGCGATACGTCGAACAGCGTGGATCTCCATAGCGAAAGATGGTATGTTGAAGCTGTGTACAACATTGGGAGAGCAGCTAATAGATGGTGTGAGCAGATGCCTAAACACGCGGTGCCGGAGGCCCTGAATGGGGTAACGTGCCTGTGGTTGATTCTTGAGGATATAGCACCGATGGCCGAATAGCGTGCCCTTCCCTGGCCAACAAGCTTCGACGCCTGAAGATCTTCAACGCCTACATCAAACCCGTTGGTGCGTCCGATGCCCGTAAGGGGTCCAGATCCCTCTGATTTATGACTGTTGTGGAGTGACTTGTACTTCTCCAGAGTTTCCGGCGACATACGCGAACAGATCAGTTCCATATTCTTCTCCATGTCCGCATACATCTACGGCATAATCTTAGAGGGGATCTCACATGCAATGAGTAGACGCGTACCCCTCTCAGCTGTTGCTCTTTGCTTATGATCCTTGCTTGAGGATTGCCTAGGCTCCAAATTGCATTCACTAACAGCGGCCGCTCAGCGACGACCAGGTCTCCCGGCGCGATATCCTCTGTGGCAAACATCCCATATCCGACGCGACCCTCCATCTCGCGTATCTCATAAGTTATCTTCGGCGGGTGGACCATTGGTGATGGAAAGCCCGGTGTCGACATCACTTTGCGCTTGAACCAACCAGTGCACATAACCTCTGCATGACCGTCTTTCCGGAGCTCCTCCGTATCGGGCTGTGGAAACGTAGTGACGCAGTACTCGTTGTCTTTATAGTCGGTCGTCCTACTATCGACATTGCGTGAGGCTAACTTGAACGAAGAATCATAGCCCGCGGGTGCCTCAGGTTCTAGAGAACGTCGGTTAGTTGAACCACGTACACGATGATGGTGTTAGAGAAACATGAGTGCGTACGGTATGTCGTATCGTCAAGGAGATTCAATGACAGCAGATTCTCCACTGGGGTTGAACTGGACGCCATGCAGGCAACGCGTATCGGCGAAGGGGCGTGGAAGACCAAGCATGGAGGTGGAACCCACCCCGTGAAGTCTTTATACGTATCACAATAGAGATCGGCTCGTGGGAGTCTAGAAGAGAAGACGGCATTCTCCGCGAGCCTTCCATGGGCCCTTTTGGCATGCTCACCCTTACACTGAGCAAGATTGGATTACACGCATCAACCCCTGGCCCCGGCCACAGATCACGCTTTCCCAAACAAAGACAAGGCACGGGAAAACTGTTGCTCGTATCAGATGAATGAATGCCTTGCCATCGGAGATAGATGCATCAGTTGAGACAAGAGATAATGCAGTGCATGTGTAACGAGAGTACGCGAGACTGGCGCGTGTATTACAATTGAATACATGTAACACGAGATACCGAGATATCGACTTCATGCCGCGAACTGGGGATTACGCCCTCTCTGCGCTGTCGTCACACTCTCCGCTAGCGCATCCAAGGCATCTGCGCGCTCTTTATTACCCTTTGCACGATTGATTTTCGCCACACGCCTCAGAAGTTCAAGGTAGCGCTTGTGACACTGCAGTCCTGTCGCCTCGTATGCTGCCAGAGCAGTCTCGGCGTAATCGATGCCTTGGGATGTCTTGGGAAGCAGACTTCGAATCGCTCGCTCTCGCACCTTGTCCGATGTTGCCGGGCTTTGACATGCCAGGCAAACACAGGTAAAGCCATATGGTTTGAGCGATGCTTGACGATCCATGGCCTTCTCGTCCTCTAAAGCGTATGTCACAGTGATTTCGTCTCCCTTTGCGATGGGGCGCACAGCGTGGATCTCCATGGAGAACGACGGCACACTGAAGGTATAGACGGCGTTGGGCGAGCAACTATAGCGAACGCATGAATTAGGAATCTCGCATGCAAGTGGAGATGCGTGCGGTAGCGTACCTGTGATTGAATCTCGAACATTTCGCTCCCACGCATGAGTAACGGTTTTGACCGGGCGAAAGTCCCATTGAGAGTGCCGTGGGGTCTTCAACTTCACCCAGTGGTAGACCATTCGTGCGCATTATTCCGCTTAGGGGACCAGAACCGTCGGTCTTGTGGCTGTTATAGAGAGCACGGTACAACTCCAATCTCTCAGGTTCCAGACGTGAAGCGAGCGTCTCCATAGATCTCTCCATATCCGCGTACATCTGAGCGCACGAGTGAGCGGATAGTGGCGGATCATACACAATCACGCACCCCTTCCAGCCGTTGCTTTGGACTCAAGTGCTTTGTGTTGGGGGCTGGCGGTGTCCAGATCATTCTCACTAGGAGCGGACGCTCCGCGAGGATGAGATCGCCTGCATCGATATCCTCCGTAGCAAATACCCCAAGCCCGCGACTTCCCGACTTGCGGATCTCGTATCTCACCTGTGCTGGATGTTCGATTGGAGATGGAAACCCAGGCGTCGATAAAATCATGCGCTTAAGCCAGCCCGTGCATAAACACTCCGCCCACCCGTCTCGTTGAAGCTCCTTCCTCACAGGCTGCGGTAAGGAAGTGATGAGGTATTCGTAGTCGTCATAATCGTTCTTCATGCCATGATGCTCAGGCCCGACGGAGAACGATTTGTAACCCTCGGGTGCATTGGGTTCTGTATGTTGCATACTTGAATATCAATCGCCGAGCAATGTTAGGGGGCACGCACGGTCCGTTGTCTTCACTGACTTGCTCGTCGACATCTTGACGATACGTATGAACACGACAGCAGGGGAGAGAAAGGCTGGGATTGTGCTCCAGTGTGATCCTTGTGAAGGATTGATATAGACAAGGCAGGCTGGTCTTCGCAAACATCCAGAAGAAAGGGCGGCGCACCCCGCGAGCCATTTACAGCCATCTTCTCTGGTACAATGTTCATCCAGTAGCGCTTCGTGCATACATGCGAGTCAGATTCGAAAGGAAACATTCCCATGTACAAGTGAGTATGCGAACCATCACTCCGCTACGCCGTCGAAGATCGCCCGACTTGATACGCGCGAGAGAGAAAAGGCATCTGAGCCATGTGCATCGAAGCTTTACGCCACTTGTTAGTGAAGGCCAGAGCACGTTTGGGAGGCCGGCTGGATCTATTATTGACCAATTATTGTCAACGTATAGTCTGCGTATGAAAACGATCAGTAGGAAGAAGATCCTCGTAGAAACAACGCGGCTGGCCTGGGAGCGTTGGTAGAGTTCACGGCGATGTTTTGCGGAGTTCACCGTCACTCCCGTGTGAACGTCGAAGAAACTCACCTGCTCGTGCTGATCTTGAGGGATATGCAATCTGTTACTGTTTTGGACAGGTGTCGAACACTCGGCATCTACAACATCCAATTCCGGCGCTGGGGGAGCACTAGCAAGTGCGTGACGAGACTCGGGAGAGGGAACGTAGGTGTAGCACAATGTGTAAGTATATACGCGGGGCAGTCCGCGTAAGTGGTGTGATGGGAATCACAGTCAAGAGTCACAAACAGACAAACAGATACGGGTTATTACAGCGCACGAAAGCTCGTCGTGTCATGAGGGTGGATGGGGGAGTGAACACGGGATGCAAGTGACGCGAAGATTATCTGTGGTGTGTGATGTAGACGGAGCGGTGGGGTAGACCAGATCAAGAAAGCGATGTGAGGTCTAGAACAGTGTGGATGGGCAGGCGTGGCGATGTGGGAAGGCAGGGACGGTGGTGAATCATGCGTGTCGTGATGGCAAATGGTGATGTAGGTGTGTGTGTATATGTCAAGATACCAAGATGTATGGGTTGGGCGAGACGACCAAGGAAATAAGGCACCAAAGCTGCATTGCAACGAGCGGCGGGACGGCCCTTCGGGAGATCACATTGTGTGTATAGACACCGGGACAGAGACGGGAGATGGTGGACCACAGACGGCGATGAGCACAAGTAAAAACAGCGAAGAGGATACAAGGGGTAAATATGAGTAAAAGCACGGGTGGTATGGGAAAGCAAGGGCGGGACAGCGAGATAGCGAGCAGTCTGTCTGTGTGTTGAGCAAGAGCAGGCGGCTCGCGGCGTCGTGCGCACGCGAGCCGATTTTAAGCGGCGACGGAGACTTCCTTAGAAGCCTCGGGCGCACCCGTCGCCATCGCGGCGAACGACACAGGCAGTTTAGGCGTGGTCGCGACGGGCGCAGGGGCGGGCGTCGCGGTCGTAGAGGGAGTAGTACTGACGGGTGTCGCTGCTTCAGCGGGCGGCGAGGTTTTCGGTGCACCGCCACGGAATAAGTCCTTCACGAGGTCCTTACGGCTGGGAGCCGGGTTCTGCAGCACCTGGGCGGCGGTAGGACCACCGAGACCGGCAGGCGCACCGAGAGGGCTACGAGCGGGTGGCGTCGTGGTGCCAGCAAGAACAGGGAATTCGTCTGCGTTTGGAACACGTTGCTTGGGCAGGACAGCGGGCTTGCCGTTCGAGCGTGCGCCATTCACACCGTTCAGCGGGAGGCCGGGTTTGCCCGGGCCGGCACGTGCCTGGCTTGAGGACGCAGAGCTTGTCGTGCGATCGCTACCACGGCCGCGCTGTGGCTCCTGAGCATGGGATCAGCATGGCAAACTGAAATTGTATGGAGGCTTTTGTGACTTACATCGCGGACATTCAGGTTAGCGAAGCCGTCCTCCAGACCGTTGACGGCGCCGTTGCCGTTACCGTTGGTCTGCACTCCGTTCGCGCCATTCACGCCATTGACGCTGTGTGCGTGAGCGTGATGCACTGGAGGGCCACGGAAGCCGCCGCGGCGACCCATGAATGGTGGGGGTGCATGGTGAACTGGCGCAGGTGCCGCGTCGGGCGAAACATGCGGGAAGCGACAGTCATCGCTACCAGAAAAAGGATGGAGATTAGTCCAGGACCGAGTACTATTCGGAAATAACGTACCCATTCCTGCAACGCCCAGACGGGAAGAACGCGCATGGAGGCTTGCGGCTGCCGAACGACGGGCCACGTCGGAAGCTGCTGCCACGTCGGTGATGACCGAAGCCGTCGGCACGGTGTCCGTTGAGCTGTGGCGCGTCGCCGTTGGCCAACGGTGGAGTTGTCTTCTGGGCAGGAACCTGGACGTAGGTCGTCTGCTGAGCAGGAGCTGAAGCGGGAACTGACGCCATCTCCTGGGGCGGCTCATACGGCTGCTGTGCGGACTGAGGAACGGCAGTCTGAGGGTACGCTTGGGGAGGCGACTGCGGGCCAGGAGCAGCCATTGGCGGGAGAGACATGGGAGGTACGCCGTTCGGGGCACCGTAAGGCGGCTGGGCGACAGGAGAAGTGGGACCATACGGCATGGGGCCGGGCATGCCAGCGGGGAAACCGGGCTGAACGGGCGAGAGCATGTCCGAAGCTGAGCGCTGGTGCATCATGGGAGGGACGCCCTGTGGCGGCGACTGAGGCGACAGCGGCATACCGTTGGGTGCAAAGTTGGGAGGCGGCATCGGGTAGAAGTTTGGCTGGTACGGGCCGGGTGCGCCGTTCTCGTACGGACCGGGGTAGGGTGCGCCGTGAGGAGGCGGGGGAGGCATCCCGTACGGGCCGGGGTGGGCGAACATGCACGACGCGCCGTAACGACAGGCCGGGAAGTAGCGGCAGGGAATAAGGCGCGCAATCTCCGGCGGCGGCAGGTTGGAGTTGTGAGCGGGAGGAGGGCCCTGCATTTCCCCGTTCGGCTGCTGGTGAGGCGGCGGCGGGTAGAAGCCCATGCCCTCCGGCGGCGGCGGATAGTAGTACGCGCCAGGCGGAGGCATGTAATATCCGTTGGGCGGCTGTCCGTGCATGTACCCGTTGGCCTCGGCGGCCTGTGCGGCCTGTTGCGCCTTGTTGATCGCCGCGGCACGCAGGGTGTCGATGATCAGCGAGTCCGTCGCGTACGACTCGGGCGGACCGTGAGCGCCAGGGTTCAGCGGATCGGCACCTGACAGTAAACGTCCTCGTATCAGTCACATGCACTACAGAGCACCCTTGGACGCACCTTTCTCGAGCAATTTCTCTACGACTTTGAGATGGCCATTCTTTGCCGCGACGATGAGCGGGCTAACCCCTTCATGGTCTAGACGCGTTCGCTACGTGTCAGATATCTGTTCGGCATCCCCGGATCCCATACACACCTTTTATTTCAAGATCGACGTTCCCACCCTCGAGGAGCGCAGACACCTTGTCCAGGTCGCCCGATGCGCTGGCCACGTAGAGCTCTGAGACCATTCTGTCGGCGGGAACGTGCAAATCTCGAGGTCGGTTTCGAGGAGAAGTATCCGAGGCGGTAGCCGGGATAGTATTGGAGTAGGAAAGAGAGGGAGTGGTAAGGGACGGTGGGCGCAGGAAGCAGAGCAAGCAGGCCAGCGAGCAGGCCAACCCCGTCCACGCGCTCGCGCAAAATTCTGAGCCTCGCTCTCTCGCGCAGATGAAATCAACGTTATCTCGATCGGCTAGATCGCCGCTTATAATTATTGCTTCCGGCGGCTAACCGGGTCCACAGCAGTACACAACCGTCCATTGAGCACGCCTATTCTACATGTTCTATCACGACGAAAGCTGCGTGTCACCCGGCAGGCCCAACTTCGCCATGAGCTTCCGAGCCGGTAAACCTGCTGTCGCGGGGAAATCGAGCTCTTTGGACGGAGGATACTCCATCAACGCCCGTGCCTCGCCTTCCACGTTTTTCCCTGACGCGCCCAAGGAAGGTCAGCGGAATGCTCCGGCCGCTATGAAGTGTCCGCACCTTCGTACAGAACACCGTAGACGCCCGCAGCGATGGGTGCCTCTACACCGAGCTTATCGATGACGGCCTTGAGCCCCTTGGACGTCGTCACACCCTCAGCTACACTGCCCAACGTACGAATAATATCGTCCAGCTTTTCGCCCTGGCCGAGACGGTAGCCGACGGTGTAGTTACGCGATGTTGGGGAGCTGCAGGTCAGGAAGAGGTCTCCGACTCCCGCGAGGGAAAGGAAGGTGAGCGGGTTCGCGCCATACGCCGTTCCAATCCTGGTCATCTCTGCCAATCCGCGGGTGATCAGACCTGGACAAGTTGTCAACGCTCCACCGACGGCGCAGATGAAATCCGATACGTACTTGCCCGAGTGTTATTTTCATAACCAAGTCCATCCGCAATTCCAGTGGCTATCGCGTAGCTAAGATAGGTAAGAAAAAGAAGCGCAGAGAGATCGCTACCCTTTCACTTACACGTTCTTCAGGGCGCCGGCGAGCTCGATGCCAATCACGTCTCCGCCAGTATAGCTATCAAAAGTTGCATGAGAGAGACAATCAACATGAATAGGACAGTCATCGCTTACCAGCGGAACCAAGGCTGGTGGAAGACACCAGAAGCGCGTTCGGCATGTTCGCTTGACATTGAACATACAGACACCATAGTCGGTTGCCGTTTCACGACTGGTCCAGTCAGTCAAGCGCACGTACTGCGGCAAAGCTCATGCACCCACTTTCTTTGGCAAAGGATGGTCCTGACTGATGAAGGCCGACGGATCTAGTCGGTATATATGCGGGTGTACGGAGCGCACGTACGCACAAGGAAGGTAGCTTGTCGCGCTATCTCTTTGCCACAAGTATCGGCGATGATCTCTAGCGTCAATTGATTCGTTGAAGTTTCAATGCCTTTGTTCACGAAGATGAGCAGAGGCGCAGTTGCCGGGTCCAGACTGGAACGGAGCTGTTCTAGCGTGGGCCTGTACAAGTTGTAGCTCTCAGATGCCGAGAAAGCTTGTGGGGGCGTTCACCTTACACCTTCAGTTGGGATAGCGAATAGTATCACGTCTATGCCCTTGATGAACGTCGCATCCGGTAGGTCAGGACCGATAGCTTTGATCTTCCTTGAGAAAGCGTGGTCTGTGAGGTATCTGATATTCTTCTGGTTCTCATTGAAGTATTTGACGAGGTCCTCTTCGCGGGACCACATGAAGACATCGTGTTCGGTATCGCCGAGATGGTCTGCAAGACAAGAGCCGAAGTTTCCGGCGCCGAGTACCAGAATACGGCTTCGCGGCCCGGGCGTGTGAGACGGTGTGAGGCGCGCAGGCGAGTGCATGACAGGGCGCGAGACAAAGGTTCTGCGAGCGACAAGTAGAGCCGAGGACGAAGGACGCGCTGATGCACGCGACAACGAGGACTTGAACTGGTTCCTGAGGAGAGGTATGACGAGCATATATAGCCCGCTGGAAGTGGAGAATGGAAAGCCGTGTCCGGCGCGCGGTGCGGCGGTCAAGTAGGCGCCTCTCAGGCACTGTACGTGGCCAAGCGTGGGAAGGTCCGGATAATGGGCACAGCAGGCGCTAAGCGGCTAGCTGTGCCTCTCGCCTCCACCGACCGACCGCATCCACGCTCTTTGTTTCTTGCCACCACGTCGCATCTATATACCAAACTTAATCTCGTGGCGAACACAATACTATGCCGAACCAGGACCGCACCAAGGAGTTCCGCTCCTGCGTAGACTCGATCCGCACACGGTCATCCCAACCCGCCAGGAGCGCGGAGAAGCAGCGCATGCTCTCGCAGAGGGGAGAGATACGGTCCGAGTTCACAAACATGGCCAAGGGGATTGCGCAGGACATCAGTAGCACCTCGCTCAAGCTCACCAAGCTGGGGCAGCGTGCGTAACCTCCCCTGTTCGATTGAGCCATTTATTTACGCAGTCCGATAGTCGCCAAGCGCAAGACCCTATTCGACGACAGGCCCGTCGAGATCAGTGTATGTCTATTTGTCTTTTATATGAACTATGATGCTCACAGCTCACCAGGAACTCACGTTCGTGATCAAACAAGACATTGCAAACCTCAATAAACACATCGCTTCGCTTCAATCATACGTCAAACAACGCAAGCAGCAAGGGAACAGCAAGACACCAGACGCAAAACTCATTGACGAACATAACAACAATGTGGTCATGCTGCTCCAGAATAAGCTGGCCGACTTGAGCATGACGTTCAAGGATGTACTCGAACTTCGGACGCAGGTGCGTGTCATATCTCCGCCATTCACGCGCATCACTCATGTAGCCATATTCAGAACATGAAAGAAGCGAAAGACCGCTCCGAACAGTTCATGCACTCGACTGCGTCGGCCGCGAGTCAGGCGCCCTCCAGTGCGTGGCCCTCTAAACCTGGGCGCTTATGCGACCGTACCTGACTCTGAACGCCGTAGATTCCTATCTCTTTGCTCAACGCGACCCGATGGGCGATGGCTCTTCCGGTACCGATCGCAAAGGCAAAGGCCGCTCAACGCCACGGCCGGCTGGTGACATGCTTGCCCTCGATCTCGATGCAGCGGAGAGTGGGACCGGACAGACAAATGGTGGCGGCGCCTTCATGCAGATGGAGCTTGTTGAACAGCAGGTACGCTAACAGCTCGTCTCACCTCATTGCGCCTGCTGATAGCTCTCCGCAGGACTCATACATCCAATCCCGCTCTACAGCTATTGAGAGCATTGAGTCAACCATTGCTGAGCTGGGGCAGATCTTCAACCAGCTTGCGAACATGGTTGCCGAGCAACGCGAAACAGTGCAACGCATTGACGCGGATACCATCGACATTGCCTCAAACGTCGGCGGTGCACAGCGAGAACTGTTGAAGTACTACGCCAGCATCTCGAACAACCGATGGCTCATGCTCAAGGTCTTCGGTGTATTGATCGTGTTTGTGCGTGTGCTCTTCTGTCTACAAGGATGCCGTGCTAACGACTTATCAGTTCCTTATCTTTATCCTCGTTTCATGAGCAGACATTTTCTGTGGCTGGGCCGCCCGTCTCGTTTGTTCTTCTTTTCGTGGATTACCGGACCTATAGCGCTAGGATCTCTTATTTGCATATGCATATGCACATGTTTCGCACTAATCATACCCAACGTGTAAGATCCTAACAATGGACGGGAAACGCTTTTGTGCATGCCAGTATTCACAGCAATTCTCCGATAGGCGATAGGCCATCGAATCCATCTGCACGATTGTAGACAGCTTGTCCACGCAAGATTGTCCTCTCAACACGTCCACGCAATGTTCTACCTTCGTACGGTGTCAACTTGTTCTTGAAGTTCAAAGACTCCCTTGTGACCTTCGCGGGTGTTTAGACAACGGTCACAGACAGCAGTTAGCACACTTACCGTAAACTCTGCCTTGGGATCCCAAACCACGAGGTCCGCATCATAGCCCACCGCAAGCTTTCCCTTCCGCTCCGATACGCCGCCATGCGTTGCTGTACGGCCGCTCGTCCATCCAAGCACTTTCCGTATACTAAAACCGCGCTTGCTCGCTTCCGTCCATAGCAAGCTTAACCCTAGCCCCAGAGTACTGATTCCACCCCATGCGCTCATGATATCGCCATCGTCGAGCTTCTTCAGTTCGGCGACACAAGGACTGTGGTCGCTCACAACACAGTCAATCGTCCCATCCGCGAGTGCGTCCCAAAGCGCAGAGCGGTTCGCCTCGTCACGGATTGGCGGGCAGCACTTGAATTCGGGACGTCCGGCGGGGATTGCGGATGCTTCTAGGCAGAGATAGTGGAAGCATGTCTCGACCGTCAACTTCGCGCCTGCGGCCTTCGCGGAGCGGATAATGGGGAGTGCAGCTGCTGCGGAGAGATGTACGATGTGACACCGTAAGGAGGGGAACTGTTTTTGCAAGGCGATGATACGCGAGATCGCATCGACTTCCATCCCGGGTGGGCGCGAGTCTAGGAAAGTATCGTAGAGTGTTGGATCAGAATTAGAGGCCGTCTGAGGATGTTTGTGCGAAGGATCGTCAAATTCGGCATGGAATAGAAGAACGGAACCTGTAGGCTACAAACTTCGCTTCAGCGCCTCGATGACAATTGACTGGCAGTACCTCCAGTGCTTTCATTGCAGGGATTAGATCCTCCTCTGACACGCAAGGAAACTCCTGAGCGATATATCAGTGTCGTAGCATATATCACTTGTAAGGGCTACGTACATCAACGCCGCTCTCTATCATAAAGCACTTGAACCCTTTCACACCTTCCTTCACAAGAGGTGCAAGATGGTCCTGATTGCCGGGTATCACACCTCCCCAAAACGCGACATCGGTCCAGCACTGGCCCTTCGCGGCCGCGCGCTTCTCCTGTAGATTCGCGACCGTGGTAGTGGGTGGGATCGAGTTGAGCGGCATATCGACGACCGTCGTGACACCTCCAGACGCAGCCGCGCGCGTACCAGTCCAAAAGCCTTCCCAATCCGTGCGTCCAGGTTCATTGAGATGCACGTGCGCATCTACCAAGCCAGGCAAGACATATAGATCTCCAGCATCTAAGTACTCCGTCCCTTCAGGATACGCATCCTGTCTCCGGCGTTCATGGTGTATTGCTGTGATACGCCCAGTAGATACGGATGCCTCGATAGTTGCAGGGCCCGGTTCGGACGACGAGGACAACAGAACATTGTCGCCAGTGAATACGCGCAAGTCGGAAGCCATGATCACGGTGAGAGGGTAGTGTGTTCGATAGGCGCGCGATAGGACGCCTGGGTCACTTGACCGCGTACGGCAACCACCGTGACGAGGCTTTGCGCCGCAAGTCAGCGCAAGTCGTCTTCATCGTTGACGTGGCATATTTTGCCATTCGATCGTCCCCGTCTGCTTGCCAGCTGCGCTTGATGCCAGCCTCACGCGTAGCATAGGATTGGGTGAGGAGGGCACACTGAACATATCAACATGTGAGAATCCGTCGGAGCCCGTCGGCTGCATTGGATCGCTTTCGGTCGTCTCGTCGGGGGACCTTTTCCGCTCACCAACTTGGACGCAATTTCGACTCCCAGTCTTCCATCCTCGGGGATCCTCCGTTACCACCACGGCTTTGGATACGTGCGCGAGCAAGGATATACGGTGGAGCCTTAACAACGCCTCACTTGTGCCCCAAATATAAGAACTACGATACACGGTGATTGATAGGCTACACAAAACGGTGCGGACGTGGCCGCTTTTGTACATCTTCTCTGTTTCCCGTTGCCATCATCATGCCCAAGATTCCAAGTTGAGCATCTCGACGCCTGGCTTGTCTGTGATCTCGCCAAGAGTGTAAACGAGCGATTCTCCAGCCTGCTTCAAGCTCTCCAACACAGCCCCCACTCTGTCCTTGGAGACTACAAGGACCATCCCAACACCACAATTGAAAGTGCGCGCCATCTCCGTAGGGGAAATGCCGCCGGCCCGCATAAGATAGGCGAAGACAGGTGGCAACTGGTAGGCGCTAGCGTCCACTGTGCAACCCGTTCCAACGGGTAACACCCTAGGGATGTTCTCGATAAAGCCGCCGCCGGTGATATGTGACATGCCCTTGAGTAAGCCAGATTTTGCTGCAGGAATTAGGCTGCGTGTGTATATGCGCGTAGGCTCGAGCAGGGCTTCACCGAGCTTCTTTTTCTCGTCCCAAGGGCAGGTTGATTTATACGAGAGGCCCGCCCTCTCGATGACCTTGCGGACAAGCGAAAACCCATTTGAATGCAAGCCAGAAGACGGTACTCCAAGCAAAACGTCTCCTGGCGCAATGTCCGGCCGAGGCAAGATCTGATCGCGCTCCACGGCACCCACAGCAAAACCAGCAAGGTCGTAGTCCCCTAGGTTATGTCAATAAGCGCCCGTGACAAGCTCCCGCGTAGACGTACCAGGCGCATACATTCCAGGCATTTCTGCTGTCTCGCCGCCAATGAGAGCGCAGCCTGCCTGACGGCAGCCTTCCGCGATCCCACTCACGACCTTAGTGGCGACTTCGACTTCAAGCGAACTACATCCGTAATAGTCAAGGAAGTATAGAGGCTCCGCACCCTGCACGATGAGATCGTTGACGCTCATCGCTACAAGGTCGATACCTTGATCGCGTATAAGGATCGAATCACAACACAATGCACAGAAACTGACCGACAAGATGGTGGATACCAGTTTCAACTGCAACCCGCAGCTTTGTCCCGACGCCATCAGTACCGCTGACAAGCACCGGATCACGGAAGCCGGTCGCCTTGAGATCGAAAACACCGCCAAAACCACCGATGTCCGCGTCTGCACCTGGTCTGCGGGTAGCTTTGACAAGCGGTTTGATGGCCTCAACAAGCGCGTTCCCTGCGTCAACCGAGACGCCCGCTTGCGCATATGTCAAACCATGGTCTCTTTCCTGAGCGCGGTCCTTCAGTGCCCTGCGAGAGGGGATGAGAGCATGACAAGGGCACAGTATGAACACGGATCACCGATGTGCAATGTCACGGCGGTAGGTTTTGCCCTCGAAGTTGACGTTTTCGACGCCAGTATACACGGATTGCAAAGCCTCGTTCAATGTGGGCGCGAACGCGGTTACAGCGATGACACGACCGCCTGCGGTCTTGACAATGCCGTTCGACGACGATGTTCCAGCATGGAAAACGACGACGTCTACTTGGACTCAATGACAGATCAAGGCCATGTAGTCGTATGTGCGTACTGGAAGGCGTCTCGCCGATGGTGATCTCCTTGCCTTTAGAATAGCTCCCAGGGTAGCCAGCTGATGCCAGTACTACAGAGACGGCTACACCTGATCGGATTCGAATGGCCACGGAGTCCAGGCGATGTTCGACACAAGCCTGGATGTGATCATCATTATACAGCAAATGTCTAGTGGAGGCTATACTTACGAGAAGCACGGCCGCGAGATCTGTCTCGTCGCTCAAAAGCAACATCAACGCCTCCGTCTCAGGGTCGCCAAAACGAACGTTGTATTCCAGCACTTTCGGCCCATTTGGGGTCAACATGAATCCGGTGAAGAGCATACCGACAAAGGGGTAACCTGTGCTGGATCAGAACCTATAGAATAGATGCTATCGCCTGAACTGACCGTCACGTCTCATCCCGTCGATGGTAGGCTGTATGGCTGTCTTCATGATTTGTTCCATGATAGCGGGTGTCGCAACGGGAGCTGGTGCATAAGCGCCCATCCCACCAGTATTCAAACCACTGTCCCCTTCACCGATACGTTTGTGGTCCTGCGCCGCTGGTAAAGGAACGACAGTATACCCGTCTGAGAATGCCAGAACAGAGACTTCCGGGCCCTGCAATAGCTCTTCTACCACGACTTCGCTGCCTGAACGGGAGTGAGCTTAAAGGCCGCGGTTTATAGTACGAGATGAGCGTTACCGGCTTCGCCGAAGGCTTTATCTACCATGATATCGCGTAAACCAGAGATGGCAGCATCCGCATCCTCAGGGATGAGGACTCCCTTCCCCCCAGCCAGTCCGCTCGCCTTCAAAACCACAGGGTGACCACAGGTCTTGACGTACTCGACTGCTGCACCATATTGCGCGGCGGCGAATGTACGGAATGCAGCGGTGGGGATATGATGTCGATGCATGAACTCTTTGGAGAAGGCCTTTGATCCCTCCATGCGCGCAGCGAGAGCGCTGGGTCCGAAGACGGGTATTCCAACTAGGCCCGATGAGTCGGCTATAGACCGGGTAAATATGTACACACCTTTACGAAAGTAGCCCTCGACGCCATCGACAAGTGGCTGTTCGGGGCCGGGTATCACTAGCTCGATCTGAGCGGAGGTCAATTGCAAGGTCAATTGAAGGTATTTTCAGCTCACGCGAGTGTCTACAGCCCAAGCAGTGAGTGTATCAAATTTTTCTATGTCAAGCGTGACGTTCGTGATCTTGCTCGAGCCCGATGCTGTACCGCCGTTACCAGGCGCGACATATACGTGCGCCACGATCTCGGAGCGCGCGAGCTTCCAAGCCAGCGCATGTTCACGCCCTCCACTGCCGAGGACGAGAACGCGGAGGGCCATGGTCAAAGAATACAGAATCTAGCAGGGGTAACCGCGAGAGTCGGATGAAAGTTAAGATTGCAAACTCAGGGGCATCCGGAATTTGCCGCATATTAGACTCACGCGCGCCCGGCCCTCCCGGCTGCCGCCCCCCACATAACTTCTCTCTTACCATATCGTCTCGCTCAAATCAGTCGTTCACCGCTTAGCACTCGACTTTATTGGAACTTCGGATACCGATCTCCGCGCGCAGCTAACGTTGAGAGCTGTCCTTGAACGCCGTCTTGTTCCGGGATCAACAAGAGCATGCTGCTACGGCGATGACCGGGCAATGATGGACGTTGGACGTTGATACATATCAAGGGTCACCCTGGCCTTATTTTCGGTTGTGGCTATACTTTATTTGGAGATCTGATTGCCACATACGTCTGTGAACCGCAGTCGTGTTTGCAGAGCACCCCGTCACTCGGAATGCGATACAGGTCCCTTGGGAGCTACTTAAGTCACACAAGGATCGAAGCAAGGTTCTCATCTTCACTGCTGGTTGCACACCAATATTCTCTTTCAACTCGCTGCTTTTTGCAACTTGCACTCCTCTTTACTTTACCTGTAACTTATCCGCCCTCATGTTCAAACTCGCCCCCTTCGTTATCGTTTCAATCTTTGCTTCCTTGGCCCATGCGGGGAAGCGGGGTTTGGCCTGGCCCTACTACAACTCGCCTCTTGACCCCGGAGTTTTTAACAACGGCGATGGCTCTGTGGTAGCAATGTAAGCTACGCGCTATTGTGCGTTGTCAGGCACTGACTTATCCCTCTCAGTTACGACTATGAGACCTATGCACCACCCTCGACGAACGGCGATGGTGGACTTGGCTTTATTGGAATGCAGCGCTGCCTCGACTGCGATTCATCACCGGTTGCGCAGCTCGCGTCTCGCGCGGCGGCTCAGGGATGGGCAACAGTTTTTCCCTTAAATGAGCCAGATCTTCCGAGTAGCGATGCGGCCACCTCTCCATCAGACGCTGCACAATGGTATCAAACCAACATCAACCCTCTCAACATCAAGAAGAGGTAAAACGGCTATATCCCCACTTCAAGTATGGACCAGTAGCTGATGAGAGATGCTTGTTTCAGCCTTCCAGCGGTAACTTCAAGCGTAAATGCAGGCGAGGGACTGGACTGGTTGAGCTCAATGATTTCTGCGTGCGCTGGCAACTGTCAGTACGACTATATCAACCTGGTGTGTGCATATGCTACTCTTTATCCGCTCTGACTGAGCTGAGAGATTACTGTCAGCACTGGTATGGCAACACCTTCGGGGATTTCCAGTCATATGTGGAGCAAGCGCACAATGAATTCCCGAACACGAATATCGTCGTCACCGAATTTGCCTTGCAGAATCCTCCTGGCGGTCAGAACGATCAGGTCGCCTTCTATCAACAGGCGTTCCCCTTTCTCGACGGTCTTGACTACGTCACCCTCTACTTTCCATTCGTAGCCACCAGCCCTAGCCTACTAAGCGCCAACGACCCGAACGCTGTCAGTACTGTTGGTACAGGGTCTTGTTTGTACACAGATGCAGGTCAACCGAGTGCTGTAGGAAACCTGTTGTTCTAGGGATAATTGCCTTCCTTACCACTAGACAACTTGACAACATGCCGTTGGATCAAATACACAACGCGTGACGTAACGATATACGCGTCTGGTCACTTCGGCGCGTCGTGTAGTCTAGGCTCCTGAAGCGCCCAACTCCACTGTTGTTTGGGGGCCATTGCATCCCTTCTCTTTCATGGATACTGACCTCGCCCTTAGCGGGTGACCTATATCAGGGCATCACTTTGAATGCGACTGAAAACGGGTAGGCAGGTCTCCAGTCGACAGGTCAACTCGTAGCCATGACGCCTATGCGCTCATTGCCGGCTGGGGATCGGCAGGCTTGACGCCCATACATATAGACCGGCGCCATCGAAGAGGGGCGAAATGCTTCCTTTACGTCTAGCGACGATCTCTGCGCACCTTTGTATAGTCTTCCGTCACAAATCTCTTCGTCTTCGTCTCTACAATATGGACACGATCAAGACCACACTCGCCGAGAACATCACTCATGCGCACGGACTTGCGCCCAAAGGCTCACAGTTCAGCCTCTCTGAGGTTCCCGATCTTAGCGGCAAGGTCGCCGTCGTCACCGGTGGTAGCGAGGGTATCGGCTACGGCTGCACACACACTCTACTGTCCAAGAACGTCTCGAAACTTTTCGTCCTTTCTCAGTCTTCGGAGGTTATAAGAGAAGCTCTCGACGCCATTCGTGAAGAACTGGGTCCTGCCGCCGCGGACAAGGTCGTTTGGCTGCAGTGTGACTTGAGCGATTGGACGAAGACCGCCGAGGTCGCGTTCGAGATTAGCTCGAAGACGGACCGTCTTGACATACTCATACTGAACGCCGCCCGCGGGATCATGACGGCACAGAAGAACGAACAAGGCGTCGATCTTCACATGGCGATCAACCACATTGGCCATGTTGCCCTGACCTCCCATCTTCTTCCGCTTCTGAAGAAGACGGCCAGCGAAGGCAACAAGGTACGCATCGTCGCCCTCGGTAGCAACGCGCACGAGATGGCACCGAAGGAGACACGCTTTGAGAGCATCGAGGAGTTGAACAAAGATTATGGCCCCAACCCGCAGTACGGTCGCACAAAGCTCGCGCAGATGCTATACGCTCGCTACCTCGCCGATCACCTGCGGACTTCGGATCCAAATATTCTCGTGAACACCACGCATCCTGTAAGTTCCTACGCAACACCTTTCGCATACTTGGTAAAGAAACAAAACCTGACCAACACCTGTAGGGCTTCGTTGATACCAAGCAAACCAACGAGTACATCCATGAGGCTTACCCATTGGGCGGCTACGGTATGAGCGTTCTGATGAAGCCTTTCAAAAAGCACGCCATGGAAGGTGCGGTATCAACGATGTACGCGGCCACGAAGACCGAGGAAAGTGGGCAATACATTTGCCCTCCCGCTATCGTCGAGCCGGGTAGCGACTTGAGTCAGGACAAGGCCTTGGGCGAAAGGTTGATGAAGCTTACAGAGGATATCATACAGCAGAGAACTGCAGCGTCGGACAAAGGGTGCCCGGTGAAAGCGACTTAACGTGTATATCAGTGGAGGTGCGCAACGCCCGCGGAGCGGGCGTTGCGCGCCGACAACTTTCCCACACAGCTAAAGCCGGTTTTGCGCCGGTCGTCACCGTCTGCGGGCTCGCGCTACTGTATATCGTACTTTTTGAACTTTCTGAAGAGTGCAAAAGCTTTGCACGTACCTGAGGAGGATGTGTGCCAAGTCTGGTACCCGTGCTTGCACAAGAGGCTCTTACAAACGTCCCGTAACAGAGGTGTGTCTGCCTATCAGAGGGGCATAGCTGAGTGG